TTAAGAATGCACGTTCATGCGTACAAGGAGAAACACGTTTTTGTCTCGTAACGCCTTCCTTTTTCCTAATTGTTGTCATAGGTAGACAATATGGATGTGAAATGCATCACTAAAAATAATAAATGATAATAGACGCTGGAGATAATAGGGAATTAAAAAGAATCCAATTTTCTCCCTATAACGAAGGAACAGTAAACTAAATCGGGATACCTCCATCATAGAGGAATAAAAATGGAGGAGAAAAAACAGCAGAATCGGAATGAATCCATCAAAAAATACAATTCCCCCTAAAACAGAGTAAAAGAAAAATCGGGACAAATCCACCGAAAAAATCCAAATCTCCCATTTGACGATAGAAAAATAAAACAGAGAGCACAAACCCACCTACACCCAGACACACACACACACACACGCATACACACACACACACTCACACACACACACACACACACACACACACACACACACACACACACACACACACACACACACACACACACACACACACACACACACACACACACACACACACACACACACACACACACACACACACACACACACACAACACACACACACACACACACACACACACACACACACACACGCCGCACGCACCTGCAGATCCGAACAGCCTACACCCGTTAGCCCAAAGCCCCCCCCCCCCACCCCCACCTGCGCTACACCTACGCCCCATCTCTATCTGTGTCTCGTACTTCTTTCTCCTCCTTTCTTCCTCTTCTGTGTTCATTTCTCCTCTCTTTCTCATCTTTCTTTAGTACTTTTTTCTTTCTATTCTTCGTCTTCTTTCCTTCTTATATTTGCTTCTTTTCTTTTTTTCTTCATCTCCTTCCTCCCTCTTTTTTCCTTTATCTTTCTTCTTCTCTTCTTCTTCTTCTTCTTCTTTCTTCTTCTTCTTCTTCTCTTCTTCTTCTTCTTCTTCTTCTTCTTCTTCCTTCTTCTTCCCTTCTCCTTCTCCTTCTCCTTCTCCTTCTCCTTCTCCTTCTCTTCTCCTTCTCCTTCTCCTTCCCTTCTCCTTCTCCTTCTCCTTCTCCTTCTCCTCTCTCTCTTCCTCTCCTTCCTTCTCCTTCTCCTTCTCTCCTCCTCCTCCTAACACATCCCAAAAACCACAAGAACCTGAAAATCGGGAGAGAGAGAGAGAGAGAGAGAGAGAGAGAGAGAGAGAGAGAGAGAGAGAGAGAGACGAGAGAGAGAGAGAGAGAGAGAGAGAGAGAGAGAGAGGAGAGAGAGAGAGAGAGAGACGAGAGAAGAGAGAGAGAGAGAGAGAGAGGAGAGAGAGAGAGAGAGAGAGAGAGAGAGAGAGAGAGAGAGAGAGAGAGAGAGAGAGAGAGAGAGAGAGAGAGAGGAGGGGGGGGAGAGAGTCAGAAAAAACAACAACAGAAAAAATTGAGATATAAAGCCAGAACAAGAGAAGGAGAGAGAGAGAGAAATAAAGAACAAGAAAGAGAAAAAAAAGAAAAAAAAATCCATCTTGAAAGTGATTCAACGGAAATTGCTATTCGCGGATTCTCGGACTCATTCGGCGATCCGACGGTGGATTCTCGGACTCACTCGGGCGAGGCGACGGCGACGACCGTTCAGATTTCGGGTTCAATTTGACAGATGGGAGGGGGAGGGAGGGAGGGAGGGAGGAGGAGGGAGGAGAGAGGAGGAGAGAGGGGGGAGGGAGGAGGGGTAGAGGGGTAGGAGGGGAAGGAGAGGGGGAGTGGGGAAGAAGAGGGAAGGAGGGGGAGAAGGAGGAGAGGGGAGGGAGGAGAAGGACAGGAGTGGGAAGGAGGAGGAAGAGGAGAAGGAGAGGGGAGAGGGGAGGGGAGGGGGAAAGAGGAGAAGGAGAAAGGAGAGAAAGAGGAGGGAAAAGAGGGGAGAAGGGAGGGAAGGGCGTAGGAGAGAGGAGGGAGAAGGGAAGGAGAGGGGAGGGGAGATGTAGGGGAGGGAGATTGGGGAGGAGAGGGAAGTTCGGGGAGGAGGGAAGGGAGAGGGAGATGTAGGAGAGGAAATTGGGTTAGGAGACGGATGGGAGGGGGAGGAGGGACGGGATGGGGAGGGGGTGCAGGAGGTTGCAGCGAGATTGGGGGAAGAAAGGAAGAGGAGGGGTAGAGAGGCGAGGGGGGATAAGGAGAGTAAAGCGGGAGGAGTAAACAGGGAGATGGAGAAGGATAGAGAGACGGGAAGGTGGAGGAGAAGACGGGGAGGAAGAGAAAGAGAGGTGAGAAGGAGCAGAAAGGAAGAGGAATGAAGAGAGGAGTGATAAGGAGGTGGATGGGAGGGGGAGGTGGAAGAGGAGAGGGAGGAAACGAAAGGAGGGAGGGAGAGAAAGGAAAGGTGGGAGGGTAGAGAGGAGGTAGAGAGGGATAAGAGGAGTATGTGGGCAAGGAGACAGGGAGTGGGGGAGAAAGGGAAAGCAGTACAGAAAATGGGGTAAGGAGAGGTGAATGGAGCAAGGAAGAAGAGTGAAGGAGGGAAGAGAGAGAAAGAGAGAAACAAAACCTAACATAACCTGCCATTATCCCCTCCATACAAAACAATAAAACAAGCAACAAACACACACAACACAATCACTCATCAAAATTAAACCTAAACTGATCTAAAAAACTTCTACCTCCCCCCCCCCCTCCCCAACCCCCAACCCCCAAATAAAAACTATCCCCCCCAAAAAAAAAAAATCCCAACCCAAATTCGACGAGCACCCAAACGGCAACATCGCGCGTGAAAATGGCAACACAAAGGGCCTCGGGAAGGAGAGCCACATGGAGAGCCAACATGAATGGTCAACATGAAGGGCCAACATGGAGAACCAAAATGAAGAGCCAACATGGAGAACCAAAATGAAGAGCCAACATGAGAGAACCCAACCAACTGATGATGCAACATAAAGAGCCAACATGAATGGCCAACATGAAGGAGCCAACATGGAGAGCCAACATAAGCCAACATGGCCAACATGGAGAGCCAACATGAAGGGCCAACATGGAGAGCCAACATGGAGAGCCAACATGAAGAGCCAACATGGAGAGCCATCATGAAGAGCCAACATGAAGGCAACATGGAGAGCCAACCAACATGGAGCCAACGTGAACCAACATAGAGCAACATGGAAAGCCAACATGATGGAACATAGAGTCAACATGGAGAACCAACATGGAGACCCGGGTGACTCGTAGACCCACTAATTTTGCTCCCTTCTCCCCCTTCTTTGACCCCTCGCCCCCTCCTCCTCCCTCCCCTTCGACTCCTTTCCCTCTTCCGTTTTTCTCCTTTCTTGGTTTTCTTTTTGATGAACGTTTTTTCCTGTCTCTTCGGCATTCTTATTTGTTTTATTGTTTTCATAAGGGTGTGATTTCTCTCTCTCTCTCTCTCCTTCGCTCTCCTTCGCTCTCTCTCTCTCTCGCTCTCTCTCTCTCTCGCTCTTTCTCTCTTTCGCTCTCTCTCTCTTTCCCTCCCTCCCCCTCTCCTCTCTCCCCTCCTCTCTCTCCCCTCCCACCTCTCTCTCTCTCTCTATGGTCATCTCTTTTTATTTATTTATTTCACACACATTCTCCTATTTTCCTCTACCTACGTTTCCCTTTTTACTATTCCCCATTTCCTTTTTTCATATTCCTTTCTCTCTTTTTCTATCTTCCCTCCTTTCCTCTCATCTACTATCTTCTCCTTTCATTTTTTCCTCTCTTCTCCTTTTTTTCTCTCTCCTTTTTCTCCTCCTCTCCTCTTCGCTCCTCCCCTCGCCTCCTCTCCTTTGTCTCCTCCTTTTCTCCTCTTTTTTCCTTCCTCTCCTCTCTTTTTTTTCTCCTCTCCTTTTTCTCCTCCTCTCCTCTTCGTCCCTCCTCCCTCCTCTCCTTCACCCCCTCTTCGTTTCTTCCTTCTCCTCCTCTTCTTTATCTCCTCTTTTCTCCTCTCCTCTCCTCCGTCTACATGTATCTTCTCCAACCCCCTGAAGGCCAAGAGACAATCGACCAATTCAGAATCCAGGAGAATTTAAGGGAATCCAATTCTGTCATACAGTTTCCAATCACCCGACGTCGATATCAAGATGTAAAAGACATTGCGTCGCTTCAAAGGACTTTTTGTGGTACTTATAATTGTGATTTTTGTTGCTACTTTTCTGTTGTTCACAATTTTCTCTTTCTCACACTCTTGTTCTTAGTGTCTCTTTCGATTAGTCACTGCTTCTCCCTGTCTGTCTGTCTGTCTGTGTCTGTCTATATCTCTCTTTCTCTCTGTCTTTCTCTTTCTCTTTCTTTTTTTTCTCTCTCCCACTTTGTAACCTGTATTTTCACCTGCAAGACCACGACAAAAATATCTGGCTGTTTTTAATTGTTTCTTTTCCTCCTCCTATCCTTTTCTCTTTATTCCCGTGTACTCTACTCTCTCTTTCCCTCACTCATTCACTCTCCCTCCTTTCATTCCTTTTTTGTTCGCCCTATCCCTTTCCCTTCTTACCACCCCCTCTCTCTCTCTCCTCTCTTCATCTCTCCCTCTCCCCTTTCCCCCTCCTCCTTCCCTCTCCAATCCCCCTTTCCCCCCCTCCCTCCCTCTCCCCTTCCCCTCTCCTTTCCCTCTTTTTCCTCCCTCCACCCTCTCCTCCTCCACCCCCTCACCCTCCCTCCTCCACCCCTCCACCCTCTCCTTCTCCACCCCCTCCACCCTTCTCCTCCTCCACCCCCTCCACCCTCTCCTCCTCCACCCCCTCCACCTCCTCCTCCACCCTCCACCCTCTCCTCCTCCACCCCTCCACCCTCTTCCTCCTCCACCCCCTCCACCCTCTCCTCCTCCACCCCTCCACCCTCTCCTCCTCCACCCCCTCCACCCTCTCCTCCTCCACCCTCCACCTTCTCCTCCCACCCCCCCACCCTCTCTCTCCACCCTCCACCCTTTCCTCCACCCATTATTGCCATCAAGCGCCGTATTTTACAACGCGTCGGGATCGTATGCGTTCTGCCACACCGACGTCAATATCGCCGTCGCGGGGACAAAGCGACGGGTCATGACGTTCTCTGACCCGGATGGGAATTTTGAGTTTTCATCCGAAGGAAACAGAGGTTGGAGGGCTCGGAGCTGGAGGGCTTGAGGGCTGGGAGGGCTGGAGGGCTTGGAGGGCTTCGGAGGCTTGGAGGGCTTCGGAGGGCCTCGGAGGCTTGGAGGTCCGGAGCTTGGAGGCTCGAGGGCTCGGAGGGCTCGGAGGGCTCGGAGCTGGCTCGGAGGCTTGGAGGGCTCGAGGGCTTGGAGGGCTCGGAGGGCTTGGAGGGCTCGGAGGCTCGGGGCTTCGGAGGGCTCGGAGGGCTCGGAGGCCCGGAGGCTCAGAGGCTGGAGGGCTTGGAGGCTCGGACTGCTCGAGGCTGGAGGTCGAGGCTTGGAGGGCTCGGAGCTTTGGAGGGCTCGGAGGCTTGATGGGTTGGAGGCTGAATGGGTGGATGTTGAGGCTTGGATGGCGTTGGAGGCTTGGAGGCTTGGATGGTTGGCAGGCTTGGATGGGTTGAGGGGAGGGTGATGGGTGAGGGCTGAGAGGCTTGATGGGTTGAGGGGTGGATGGCGTTGAGGCTGGAGGGGATGCTTGAGGCTTGCGATGGTTTGGAGCTTGGAGGTGAGCTGGAGGGTTGAGGGCTTGATGGTTGGAGCGCTTGATGTTGGAGGGCTTGGATGTTGAGTTGAGCTTGTTTATGGGTTGATGCGGTTGGATTGTTTGGTGAGGCTTGGATGGCTTGAGGCTTGAGGTTGGAGGGCTTGATTCGTTGGAGGCTTGGAGGGTTGGAGAGGCTTGGATGGTTGGAGGCTCGGAGCGCTGGATGGTGGAAGTTTATGGGCTTGGAAGGGTGGAGGGCGGAGGTTGGACTTGATGGGTTGGGAGCTGATGGATTGGAGGCTTGATGGGTTGAGGGTTGGATGGGTGGATGGTTGAGGCTTGGAGGGCTTGATGGGTTGGAGGCTGCATGGTTGAGGGCTTGAGGTTGGAGCTTGGATGGTTTAGAGGCTTGGATTGAGGTGGAGGGCTTGGAGGGCTCGGAAGGGCTTGGAGGCTCGGAGGGCTCGAGCTTGAGGGCTCGAGGCTTGAGCTTGGAGGGGCTCGGAGGGCTTGGAGGCTTGATGGGTTGAGCTTGATGGTTGAGGCCTTGATGGTTGAGGGCTTGGAATGGGTTGAGGGTTGGAGGGCTTGGAGGGCTTGATGGGTGAGGCTTGGAGGGCTTGGATGTGGAGGCTTGGATGGGTGGAGGCTCGGAGCTCTTGGATGGGTTGAGGGCTTGGATGGGTGGAGGGGCTTGGATGGGTTGGAGGCTTGATGGTGGAGGGCTTGGAGGGTTGGAGGGCTTGATGATTGGAGGGCTTGGATGGGTTGAGGCTGGATGGGTTGGATGGGTTGAGGTGCTTGGAGGGTTGGAGGCTTGATGGGTTGATGGTGGAGCTTGGATGGCGGTGGAGGGCTGGAGGGTTGGAGGGTGGATGTGGAGGGCTTGGATGTGTGCTAGGGCTCGAGGCTTCGAGCTTGGATGGCTCGGAGGCTTGAGGCTTGGAAGCTTGGAAGGCGCTCGGGGCTTGCAGGGCTTGGAGGGCTGGGGGCTTGGGGTTGAGGGCTTGGATGGGTTGGATGCTTGGAGCTTGGAGGCTTGGTGGGTTGGAGGGCTTGGATGGGTTGGAGGGCTTGGATGGGTTGGAGGGCTTGGATGGGTTGGAGGGCTTGGATGTTGGAGGCTTGGAGGGCTTGGAGGGTTAGGGCTTGGAGGGTTGGAGGGCTTGGAGGGTTGGAGGGCTTGGAGGGTTGGAGGGCTTGGATAGGGGGTTGAGGATTGGATGGAGGTGGAGGTTGGAGGGCTTGGGTTGATGGGTGGAAAGGGCTTGGAGGGTTGGAGGGCTGGTTGGATGCTGTAGGTTGTTGGATGGCGGTTGGATTGGTTTTGGAGGCTTGGAGCTTGGAGGGCTCGTGAGGGCGGCTTGGAGGGGGCTTGGAGGCTTGGAGGACTCGGAGGGCTTGGAGGGCTTGGAGGCTCGGAGGGCTTGGAGGGCTTGGAGGGCTCGGAGGGCTCGGAGGGCTTGGAGGGCTTGGAGGGCTCGGAGGGCTGGGAGGGCTTGGAGGGCTTGGAGGGCTTGGATGGGTTGGAGGGCTTGGATGGGCTGATGGGTTGGATGGGTTGGAGGGCTTGGATGGGTTGGAGGGCTTGGATGGGTTGGGAAGGCTGGAGGGGGAGGTGAGGGGGTTGGAGGTTGGGGTTGGGCTTGGAGGCTCGGAGGCTTGAGGGCTTGGGGGCTCGAGGCTTGGAGCTTGAGGTTGGAGGGCCTTGAGGCTCGGAGGCTTGGAGGCTTGGAGGGCTTGGAGGCTCGGAGGGCTTGGAAGGGCTCGGAGGGCGAGGGGAGGCTTGGACGGCTTGGAGCTTGAGGGCTCGGAGGCTTGGAGGGCTCGGAGGGCTTGGAGGGCTCGGAGGGCTTGGAGGCTCGGAGGGCTTGAGGGCTCGAGGGCTTGGAGGCCGAGGCTCGGCGTCGCTCGCTCTGGCG